GTTGTTCCATTTCTGGTTGTACTCATCAGACGTTGAAGTAAAGGATTGATCTCCACCACTTTTTTCTACTCATTTTTAAGCTGTAGAACTGAGTGGAAACTTCCCATCAATTAAGTCACATTACAACTGTCAAACAATTAAAAATATGGGACCTACTCCCTCACCCCCACCCCCCACCCCCACCCTGCCTTCAGGAAACATACACTCACTTAGAAGCAGTGGGACACTTGGTTTATGGCTCAATCATGGACAAAACAAAGGGAGTACAGTACCCAAAAATACACTTATTGTGGCAATACTGCTCATAGGTCTAATTTTGGCTACTCACTGAAGGCAGAGCACAGAAGGATGGCAATGGAGAACCACAAAATCTTTCCCATGGTTTCTTTTCTTCCAGCACTTGTTGCTTTGAAATAAGATGAAAGATTTTGATGGAACTTTGATAGAATTGATGAAGATGATCCTAACCTGTTATTGAAGTCAGTACTACAACTCACACAGATGTACTTTCTGGGCAAGTCACAGATGGATGTAAGTTCTCTGGATAACCAAGGTGGTGTTATAAGTGCTCCAATATTACAATAAAAATCTTATGACCAAGAAGAAGCAATAGCCAGGTGCAGTATGTTCTGTGCTTCATTGTATGCTACACCTGAATGCTTGAGTAAGACATTAGGAAAAACTTCTTAATCAACCAGAAAATGCACTGAAATTGGATTCAGTCACAGATATTATGCTCCTATTGGTAAGACTCAAGTTCTGGTAGGACTCGTCTTCTCTATTCTGTGTTTCTTATGATACATTTGTATCATTTTCAAAGCAATTGGAGATTTTCTTGGACCAAAAATATGCCTTGAAATCAACATATGAACAGCAGAAAGATGAACTAAGGCAAAAAGGAGCATATTTAAGAAAAATTCTCTTTCTTCTATTCGCTATTCTGCTGCTTTTCCTCTCCAAATGGTGGCCTCCAACAGCTAACCTCCATTTTAAAATTCAACCTTCCATTTATTTTTGTAGGCTCAGAATATTCTAATAATTTTTACATTATTTTGGTTTGTTCTTGCACTCTTATCATTTTAAGCATTCGTCAATAACAGACTGAACATGAATCCGCAATGTGGAACATCTCCTAGAAGCAGTTGTGGGATTCAAGTAATTTAACAACCGGTTCTCTACCCTAATAATTTCTTCCAACAACCAGTTTGCCACATTGCTCAAAAAGTTAACAACTGGTTCTCCCGAAGTGGTGAGAACTGGCTGAATCCCACCACTGCCTAGAAGCCAATAGAAAGTGCACAGCCCAGTTTTAAATGTATTGCAGAATCTGTGGCACTTGGAGAGATGGAATCAGTGGTGGGTTGCTACTGGTTTGCCCCCATTCGGGCGAACTGGTAGTAGCAGCAGCAGAAGGCTCGCCCACCTGCCCAGATATCATCAAATATGTTCTGTGCATGCGCAGAAGTGGTGCACAAGTGAGCGAAGCGAGCACATGCACGCAAGCGAAGTGGTAGCAAAGGTAAGTGAAACCCACCACTGGATGGGATGATAGTATTACTGCGCCACAGTGTAGATCATTCTTAGCTGATATCTGAGACATTAGATCCCTGCGGTTGTTAAGTGAATGATATCATTGGGATGGCACCCTCTAGGTGGAATGAGACAGCTTGGCACAGCCAACTCAATGTGGGACAATTCAATGTGGGACAACTAAATGTGAGATAACGGTACTGTTATCCACCCCCATTTATCTGAGATTAATTTTTGTCTTTCACATTTCATTTTGTCCAGAATCAGCCATAGCCTGGTGCAGTATGTTCTGTGCCTCATTGTAGGCTACACCTGAATGCTTGAGCAAGACATTATGAAACCTTTCTTAATCAACTGGAAAATACATTAAAATTAGACTCACCCAGAGATACTGTATTCATATTGATAAAATTGTATCTTATGTTTACACTTGAACCTTTTCCAAAGCAATTGAAGACTATATTGTGCCCAACTTATACCTTCAAATTGCCCAGTTAACAGCGTTTGAATGATCTGAGGTAAAAAGTAGCACATTTCAGAAAAATTCTCTGTCTTATGAGGGGTCCTTGGTTCTCTGAAACTCATGGTTGAAATGGGTATCCTTGAACGTCTCCATAGAATGTATTCTTATCCTATCATCCTCATTCCTGCTGTGGCTGAAAGTCTAGCTTTTTCCACTCAAAAACATATAAATATTTACATTAATCTTTCTCAGAGTTTTGCCCCCTCAAAAAAAAGGCCACAAACCATATTGATGTGAATGTTTAATTCTTTTACAAGAACATAGTGACATATGTCCCTTTCCAAATGCATCAATCTGTGTCCTTCTGCCAAAACTCTACTGGTTTATAGCATTCTTTTTCCTCCATTGCACTGGTTCCATTTTGCAGCTCAGATCTTGCCAACTTATTCTACTGGTCAAATTTAGATCGCACGGAAGAAGCAAAAGTAGAAGAAGATACATATTTTACTTTCTAATGGCTTCTCGTACAGTTCCTGAAGTTGAAAATGAGGTTTGACCATTCCTAAATCATGCACACATTATTGTTTTTATAACCATTCATTTTCTGTTAGGAGAAAAAACTTCTAATTTCCAGAAATTCAAAGGTTTGAAAACAAGGTTTCATCTTATAGGTTTTTGTTTAGGGATAAAGTGCCCATATCCAAGTGAATGACTTGTGAAAATAAATACTGGAAGAAGCTCCTTCTACAGAGAACCTCTTTGGATTAGAAAAGGGTCTCCATCTCCATCAAATGGGTTCAAGGAAGCCACATCTATTTCACCTTCTGCAGGAATTTAAAGCCGCAGTTCCCCCTTAGCAGTAGGCTTCCTTCCTCTGTTTGCTTTTTTTGTCTGTAGGAAAAAGCCAAGGCATTCACAGTTACATGGGCATAGAGATGCCACTCATGGACATTTAAAACAGGAGTCCTCAACGTACAATCGATCACTCAAGCAACCATTTTAAGTTACAACAGACTCCACTAAAGCTACTTACAACCCAATTTCAAAGTTACAATAGCTGCCAACAAACACACACACACACACACACACACACACACACAGTCACATAATTGAATTTTGGGTACTTGAGTGCATTATACCGCAACAATGTTTTAATCAAAATCTGTTAAATTAAAGAATGCATTAAAAAAAATCTGAGAGCCATTACTCCTGCAGAACTGAAATTTCCACAATGTTCAGATGAGTTTTATTCACTTGTTGGACAAGTTGTGCCCATTGCAGCATCCCTGCAGTCATATGATCATGACTTCTGATCAGAGGTGGTATTCAGCAGGTTCTGACCAGTTCTAGAGAACCAATAGTGGAAATTTTGAGTAGTTCGGAGAACCGGTAAATACCACCTCTGACTGGCCCCGCCCCCATTTATTCTCTGCCTCCTGAGTCCCAGCTGATCAGGAGGAAATGGGGATTTTACAGTATCCTTCCCCTGCCACGCCCACCAAGCCATGTCCACTGCACCATTAGTAAAAAATTTTGAAACCCACTACTGCTTCTGATGCTTCTTGACAGCTTCCCACTAGCAAAGTCACTGGGGAAGCCTATAGGAAGTCAGAAGTCTCTCTTGCTCCCACTGTTTTGTTTGCCTATGATCCTTCTGTTTATCCTTTCAGGTAAGTAAATATTGACTTGGAGTTTATTTACCAGTATAATTATTTTTCTATGTATGAGATATACTTGTCTTAGATGATCACATGATCATTCAGCATTGAGGTAAAAAAAATAGTTCAGCCTAAAATTTAATGTTCATTCTGGTCACATCAGACTGCATTCTGTCCAAGGATCATTCAGTGGGTCACAGGCAGTGGTGGGATTCAGCCAGTTCGCACCACTTCGGGAGAACCGGTTGTTAACTTTCTGAGCGGTTTGGCAAACTGGTTGTTGGAAGAAATCATTAGGGCAGAGAACCGGTTGTTAAATTACTTGAATCCTACCACTGGTCACAGGGTTATTTCATATAAATTATATATTAAACATTCCGTTCTCACCCTTATGGGTGGTATGCGTCTTCCTCAATTTCAGGTCCTCTAACTATACACAGGTAGTCCTCAATTTACAACCACAGTTGAGCCCAAAATTTCTGTTGTTAAGTGTGAAAGTTGTTAATTGAATTATGCCACATTTTACAACCTTGTTGCCTCAGTTGTTAACTGAATCACTGCAGTTGTTAAGTCAGTAACACAGTTGTTAAATGCCTTCCCAATTGACTTTACTTGTTGGAAGGTCACAAAAGAGAACAGCATGATCCTGGGGCATTGCAAACATCATAAATACCAGACAGTTGCCAAACATCCAAATTTTGATCACATGACTATGGGGATGCTGCAACTGTCATACGTGTGAAAAATGATCATAAGTCACTTTTTCAGTGCCATTGTAAGTTGTAAATCAAGGATTACCTGTGTAGTCAATGGCTAAATAATGGCTAAAATGATGATTTTAGATATAAATCATCATTTTAACCATTGTATGTGGACAGAGATAGAGAGATAGATGATGGAGGAGGAGGAGGAGGAGGAGGAGGAGGAGGAGGAGATGGAGATATGGAGACAGAGAGAGTCAGAGAGACAGACACTCAGAGAGAGAGACAGACAGAGAGACAGACAGAGAGTGACAGAGACAGAGAGGCAGAGAGACAAAGAAAGACAGAGAGAGAGAGACAGAGAGAGAGACAGAGAGAAAGAGAAAGAAAGAGAGAGAGAGACAGAGAAAGAAAGAAAGAGACAAGAGACAGAAAGACAGAGAAAGAGAAAGAGAGAGACACAGAGAGAGAGAGACACAGAGACACAGAGACAGAGACAGAGAGGTACATACATAGGTACATAGGTAGATCGAGATATATAAAATCATCACCATCATTTTAGCCATTGTTTATCCATTGCAGGATGAAGGCCTCTTATATGAAAAACAGCTGAATCAATTTATAGGCTGCCAACTTGTGCATTAGAATCTAATTGTTTCTTCCTAGCTTTACCAGAGTTGGTTCCTGAACAGGTGGCTCTTGTCCCTTCTTGGTTGAAGGCACATGCTTGCTGGATGGACGTTTCACAGGTTTTACAGGCGATTCTTCCGTGGAAGAGGTTTCTGAGTCATCACTTTGCTGTGATGATGAAGAAGAAGACTCTCTCCCCTGATCCTCATCTCCATTCCACTGCAAGCCAACTGCAAGAATAAACTGAGCTATAGATGTTGCTAGTTTTATGAAAACAGCCTTGACTGCAGCAAGAGACAATTTTCTTTAAAGGACGTATGAAATGGAACATTAGTAAACTCTAAATGTCTATGGAGATTCTCAGTCATCCAGGTCATGGTTGTCCCAAAGGTGCTTTTTTCAAGAGTTTGTTTCGAAACAACCACTCCATAAACACATGGCACAAAATAAAAGAACAAACGTATCAGGATTAGATTCAGCAGTCCATCTGCATTTAAAAGACAAATGCCACTCTTTTGAAGACAGCAAAGTCCCTATTTTGGACAGAGGACTGCTGGTTTGAAAGAGGGGTTAAAGAGGCTATTATGTCAAAATTAAACAACCCTCTCTCAACAGAGAGGGAGGGAGGGATACGACATCATCTATCTCCAGTCTACAACACAGTCCTTTCAACCGTTCCAAGAAAGCTTCACACACTCATTTGCACCATTAAGGTGACTCTGATGACACAGATAAACCTCCAGGTGACCTTAATGACCCGCTAAAAGAATGCAAATAATCAGCTGTCTGCAAGGAGTATAAATCCTTCCAGTCCCCACCATTCAGTCAGAGCTGAAGAACGAGATGAGAAGCAAAAAGTCTTTAAAGAAAAACCAGAAAGTGCCTCTTGAAAAAAACACCTTTAGGATTAGCTATACTCAGTCTGCATTTTTTTGTTATCATGTCTTCAATTCTACATGCAGAAATTAGTTCTGAGAACTTGCCATTCCTAATAAACCAACTAAAGCTGGGAAGTTGATATCCAGACCTTCAGATGTTTAGAAGTTGTTTCTACCACACATGTGAACCCCTAAATTGTCAGATCACAATCCACAATAAATCCCTTTTTGCAAAGCAACATGATTATTTAAATCAGCTTGATTCTGTTTTTGGATACCTTATCCAGCCAAATCATTTCCATTTATAGTTTTACAGCAATCATGGAGAACTGCTGAAAAACAATAATCTACTAAATATAGTTGATGTTCCAATATAAGGCGCAAGATTCAACTAAATCTGGTTTAGATATTTTTCTTGCAGATTTTTCCTAGCAAAGGTAATGGGAGGAAGGGCTGAAGTTCATGCATTTAATATTTGCATTAAATCTTTGCTAGGCCTGGATTACATATCTTCAGCCCAAACCAATCTATTACTGGATGAAGGTCTCTAGATTGTTATTGACTGCAATATCCCATGCTGATATAATCTGGGTTGGTGGATATATATTTCCACAGTCTAGAACTGAGAAAGTGAATATCCTGAAGTCACTCTTCCAGATTCTGTATATAAAGGAGGACTCAAATGTGCTACTAATCTAGCACCTTAACCACTATACTACATTGGTTTTCATGCATAAACACACAAGTTGGATTTGTAGATTACAACCAGCCATGGTTTGTTATTAAAACTATGATCACTTTTTATTCATAAAATATATTAGCATATAGTTTATAGTTCACTGATAGTTTCTAATTTACAGTTGCTGAGTTCCCACAGTACATTAATCCCAAATCAATCCAAACATATATCTATACAATGTATGAACCGAGTCTTAAACCAATCAGCAAAGGAGCTATAGATAGCATATTAGACAAATATGTTTTCAAAATTCAAATCACTTTATTGCAGTCATTAACCAGCAGAAAATATATATATATGTTTTCTGAGGTTTTCTTGGATATTTGTATGTATGTGTATATATACTGTGTATGTTTGTGTGTGTGTGTGTGTGTGTGTGTGTATAATGTATATATATAATGTATGTATATAAATCAAATTTATATTTTGCTGATAAAGAAATAAAGGGAAACTAGTATAGATCTATTTCAAGCTTTTTAGCTTTCATCAGCTAGCCATACCCTTACTCGGATTCAAACTTGGGCTTCCTGCATGTTAGGCAGTTGAATTAACCCTCTGAGCCACAAGTTCTCCTCCCTTCATCAGCTTGAGCCAGGGGAAAGATTAAGTATTTTTCTATCGAGACACCTCAGCATGTGGGAGGGGACATTCTGCTCCCTTTCGCCTTTCAGCTCCAATCCAGGAGCCCTCAAGCCGTCGCATTCACGACAAACCATTTTATACTATATATATATATATATATTTTTGAGCTGATCTGAAGACTCACTTAATAGAAGCCAAGATCAACTTCAGATTGTCTCAAGGGCTTTGGATTTTACCTGTTACATGTTGTCCAGCAAGGTACACAGGTCCAGATCCTGATTTTAGCCTAAATGTGATGGGAGGAGTCAAATCAAGCCCTGCTAGAGTAGCCTAGAGAACATAAAAATTCATAGTCTGAGAAGCTATTCAACATTTCAATTAAGCAAAAATACAAAAACCATTAATACTAACTTGACAGCCAAAAAAGCCAATGCAATCCTAAATTGCATTAACAGAAGGATACAATCAAGATCAAGGGAGGTACTAATATCACTCTATAAAGCTTTGGTAGAATCACACCTGGATTACTGCATCCAGTTTTGGTCACCACACTATAAAAAAAATATTGAGATTCTAGAAAGAGTGCAGAGAAGATCAACCAAGATGATTAGGAGACTGGAGGCTAAAACATACGTGAACGGTTGCAGTGAAGAGAAGGACCAGGGGAGGAAAGCAGTGTTCCAATATTTAAGGGGCTGCCACAGAGAGGAGGGGGTCAAGCTATTTTCCAAAGCACCCAAAGGCCAGACAAGGAATAATGGATGGAAACTGAACAAGGAGAGATTGAACCTGGAAATGAGGAGAAATTTTCTGACAATGAGAGCAATCAACCAATGGAACAGAAGTTGCTTTCAGAAGTTGTGGGAGCTTCATCACTGGAAGCTTCCAAGAAGAGACATCTGTCAGAAATGGTGTAAGGTCTGCTTGGGTGTGGATTGGACTAGATGACCTACAAGGTCCCTTCCAATTCTGTTAATATGTATCTGACTGAACAGTGGCTAGCAAAGTCTACTGTTGCATCTATTGGATGAGGTAAAAGAGGCACTATAGCTGAACTACACAAGATAAATGTTTTAAAGAGTACAAATATGGATGCTAGAAAACTTTAGAGGAAAAGAAGGTGTTTCGATTGATCTACCAAATGAGAAATTCTAAAAAAATAGTGATTATGATATCACTCACCATTGGAAGTATAGAAAGTTTCAAGGTTGCAATACGCACTGGAGTAGAATTGGTGCTACTCTTTGGCGGCAAGATCTCTACAACATGGAATTCATCCTTGGCATTTTCCCCAAGGCAGATCTACTTGAAAGAAAAGCAGAGTCACCAAGGCTAACAATATCTTAAGGACCCTCATTATTTCTGAATAAAGTGTTCTGGAGACAGTTTCTCACCCCCGACATTCTCTGACCAAGAAATAAGTCCAGTTTAGCCCTCATAAATCCTAGATGTATAGCTTCTGAGGATGAGTTGACTGAAGTTTTGACTTAATATGTTGCATAAACTTGTGTCATTCTAATGCAGAGGTCTTCAAACTTGGCAGCTTTAAGACTTGTGGACTTCAATTCCCAGAATTCTCCAGCTATGCTGGCTGGAGAATTCTGGGAGTTGAAGTCCACAAGTCTTAAAGCTGCCAAGTTTGAAGACCTCTGTTCTAATGTATAAACCAATGTTTAAGGTTTATATTAATTCAAATAACAACAGCACTTAGACTTTTATACTGCTTCATAGTGCTGTACAGCCCTCTCTAAGCAGTTTACAGAGTCAGCATATTGACCCAAATAATCTGGGACCTCATTTTACTGACCTCAGAAGGATGGAAGGTTGAATCAGCCTTAAACCGGTCAGGATTGAACTCCTAGAGTGAGCAGTGAGTTAGCCTGCAATATTGCATGCTTACCTCTGCACCACTATGGCTTTAAAAAATAACTTTATTGCAGTCATTAACCAACAGGAAAAGTTTTATTAAGCAAACCATTCCACTGTATCATTACCGCACAATATAAACTCTTAGCAAGACTTTTTATACAGTTATACACCACTGAATTTTGTAAATAAGGCAGAAATATTCCTAACCATTTGAATTGGGGAACTGGTTATGATTGGTTATGATTAAGAAAAAAATGTTTATTTACTGCTTACAGTATTTCTACGCTATCGATTTTCCTCATTGTGTGTCTACATGCATCCCACATATATTCCATAAAGAAATCTAAAGAAAAATTGCACACTAAGCCTTATACCTATGCAAGAGTTAAAAACCTGACTTTCATATCTGTAATTTTTCTCTGGAGATTCACAAACATAGAAACTCCTCACCCACAGTCTTTTGAAGGAGGAAACTATAACTCAGTATTCAAAATGCCCCAAATTGATAACTTTTTTTTAATGGAATGCTATGAAACTAAGCTGTTAAAATATAAGCCCCAAAATTATTTCAACGCTTTGCATTCCATTGTAATTTGATATTAGCAGAGGAAAAGAAAACCACTGATGTAGGAGGCAGTGAGAAGAAAATAGATGTGAAGCAGAGGGACTGGTGAAGAACATTTTGACCTCCAACTAGGGATGAAATCCAGCAGGTTCTGACAGGTTCTGGAGATGCAGTAGTGGAAATTTTGAGTAGTTCAGAGAACTGGCAAATGGCACCTCTGGTTGGCCCCAGAATGGGATGGGAATGGAGACCTTGCAATATCCTTCTCCCAGGAATGGAGAGGGAATGGGGATTTTGCAGTATCCTTCCCCTGGAGTGAGGTGAAAATGGAAATTTTGCAATATCCTTTCTATACCATGCCCATCAAGCCACACACACCACGCCATGCCCACCAAGCCATGCCCACAGAACCGGTAGTAAAAAAAAAATTGGATTTCACCACTGCCTCCAACCCCTTGGATTTCATCTCCTTTAAACAAAAGACCAGCTATTCACTTACTGTTCTTAGAGCTAACTGCTGCTCACAGGACCACTCTTCTGGAGTATCAAATGTATAGACTGGATTCTCCCTGTTGAGTTGACATCCTGAACAGAAAAAGGAGATGTTAGAAAGTTAGTTGGCCAACTCATTTTCTCCTGTGGATGGCTTAGTTTAAATCAGAGGTCTTCAAATATGGCAGCTTTAAGACTTGTGGACTACAACTCCCAGAATTCTCCAGCCAGCATAGGAGTTGAAGTCCACAAGTCTTAAAGCTGCCAAGTTTGAAGACCTCTGGTTTAGATCAAATCCAGAGAAAACATTTCTTACCCCAGATTACACAAACAGGCTTTTCAGAGCAAAAACTCTCATTGGTAGCAGAACTGGCTTCCAAGGCCATTGCTTCAAGGAAGATCCTCTTCAAAAGACAAAGACAAGAGACTGTGTAAATTCTGGACAGTTAGCAGATGTACCATTCAAAATGTATTGCAAAAGCTTCAGAGCTGTGAGAAATAGCACCCCAACTTGCTTCTTTGGGAATTTAATTGCAGTTTGAGTTGTGCAAAAGCAGTGTAGATTTATTTTCAGTGGCTAAATGTCTTAGGCTCGTGTCTATGGAGATTCTCAGTCACCCAGGTCATAGTTATCCCAAAGGTGCTTTTTCAAGAGGCAACTGAAGAAGCTTCTTGGATGAGAAGCAAAATGTCTTCAAAGAAAAACAAGGAAGTCCAGTTGCCTCTTGAAAAAGCACCTTTGGGTCTTAGGCTCATCTTACTCACCTGCAAATAATACATAAGAGTACAACTACAATGGAGTTCAGGAATAAAATACCGTAAAACCATTTCAAGGTAACGTTATAAAACATTTCTTGAGAAAAACCATGCTCTCACTTCTTAATACATTTTAAAAGAGATTATCTCAAATGAATATTTTGAAAATAACTACTTCCAAAGGTCAAATATCCACATTTCGAAACTTTGGGTAAAAGTCTTAGGTCCCTGACACAATCTATTGCAATGGTATCCAAGTTATCCTGTTACTAGGTGAACCTGCAAGTTAACCTTTTATCCAAGTTAACTTCCCCCCAAAATTTCTCTCTCACAGTCTCTTTTTCCTTTCCATTTTAATTTTTAATGGGAACCCCAAGTTCAATTAAATGTTCTTTTAGATAATATTTTCAGCTGAATAAACAAGGAAAAAAAACCCCACAAATTAAATTGCAATTTGTTTAAAAATCAAGCACAAACAAAAGAATATATAAGTTTTCCCCCATTTTTTTTTTTAGTTCAGATCAGCACAATATGAGATTTTCATGCAAGTAACTCACCAAAGTTTCAGAAAGAACCACCAAACCAGCTTTGAACAGATATCGTTTATAAAAGGAAAGGCAGGTGTTTAACTTCTCCTTAGGCCAATCAAGTAAGCTTTGCACCTAGAATAAAATTTCAGTCTTAAAGAAAACCAGCCCACTCCTACTCAAATCTCTCCCAAATTAGGGAAGGGTATAAACCAACTTTCTTCAAGACAGTATTCTCCAATTTTACTATTCTACAGTGGCCACCACCTTAATCTTTAGGTTCCAGTACCTTTGGTGGATTGGGGGTTGGAAGTTGTAACCCAACATACTGTATCTGAAGAGCATTCTATAAAAGAAGTGGGGGGGGGGACAAATTTAGCCATGATGTATTGACTTAATTACAATTGGCAACAAAACAACTGAAGAGTCAACCCTAAGTCTGGGGTTCAAAAATGTGCTTCACAAGGTATGTGTAGCCTTTGGGGATCTTCTTTAGAATAGAGGTCTTTATACTTGGCAGCTTTAAGACTTATGGACTTCAACTCCCAGAATTCTCCAGCCAGCATAGCTGTATAGGGAGCAGAAGCTCAGCATCTATGTGCCAGTTTATTGTGCAAACATAGCTTATTACTTTAAGAGGACATTCCAGGCAGATACAACCTGTATTTATTAGCATATGGCATAATATTGTATTGATGGTTACAGAACTGCAGAGAAAGAATACAAGCAAAGGAAACCTTTTTTTAAAAAAAAATATTTTATTTTTACAATTATTTGGATTCCCGTCTTATCTTAAACAATAACATTTCTTTGGCTCTGAATCAGCTTGTGGGAACCCAGCCATTCTGCTTGTAAATTATATTTTATGGCTCAGTGTAAGTCAGCTAATCAATAAGCCATGATTAAAAGTATTGTGATTTTAAAATGATGTACCAGCACAGCTGTTTGACTTTTCCTACAACTGCATGAAAAGCAACTGTGGATGATTAGAGAAGGACAATTTGAGACCTTACTATGTATTTTGTTTCCCTGGCTGTGACTTAATAGGAGGTGTGTCTTTCAATTACAACTTGATATTGTCTACAGACATAGACCCTTATCCTGTTGAACAAACCCTAGCTTTTAAAATCTTTTTTATTTTATTTTAACTTTATTTTTTTATTTATTTTATTTGTCAAGGGTGTATAAGATAACAGATATAAGTATAAACATGATTATGGATACATGAAATGGATATGAATAAAGGGACATTAGGATAGAGACGGTAGGCACGTTGGTGCGCTTATGCGTCCCTTGGGAGTTGGGCGGCATAGAAATGCGACAAAATAAATAAAATAAATAAATAATTATGCATGCCCCTTACAGACCTCTTAGGAATGGGGTGAGGTCAACAGTAGACAGTCTAATTTGAAAGTTTTGGGGGTTTGGGGAAGAAACCTCAGAGTCAGTTAGTGCATTCCAGGCATTGACCACTCTGTTGTTGAAGTCATATTTTCTGCAATCGAGTTTGGTGCGGTTTACCTTGAGTTTGTATCTATTATTTGCTCGTGTATTGTTGTGGTTGAAGCTGAAGTAGTCATTGACAGGTAGGACATTGCAGCAGCTAATTTTATGTACTACGCTTAGGTCAGACCGAAGGCGGCATAGTTCTAAGTTGTCTAAAGAACATCTTCAGATGTTCTTCATGCGGCATGTATAATTGATTGGTTTTTGGGAAGGAATAGATTAAAAATGTAATCATGCCAGTGCCTATCAGACTTTTCTTCCAAGAAAGTCAAATTCAGATGAAATATTTCTAAACAACTGCAACAATTTCAAGTTGTGGTTTGCCTATTGAGTTCACAATAATGTACAAGTCAAACTAAATCCTTCAGTATTGCTTATTTACAGGTAGTGCTTTCAATGAACATAACTGAGCCCAGAATTTACTGTATGTTGCTAAGTGAGAAATTTGTTTAAGTGAGTTTTGCCCCATTTTATGACTTTCCTTGCCAAATTTGTTAAATGAATCACTTCAGTTGTCAAATTAGTAACACTGTTGTTCAGTGAGTCTGGCTTCCCTGTTGACTTTGCTTGTCAGAAGATCACAAATGCTGATTACATGACCCCCAGGACACTGCAACCATCATAAATATGAACTAGTTGGAAGCATCCGAATGTAAATCATGTAACCATGGGGATGCTGCAATGGTCATAAGTGTGAAAAATGGTCATAAGTCACATATTTCAGTGCCATTGTAACTTCTAATGGCCACTAAATGAACTGTTGTAAGTCAAGGATTGCCTGTATTTGATTTACATCCTTCTTTCTGCTCAGACAATTGCTTCTTCTCTTGTACCAGGAAGTCCACAGTCATGTTATCTGGAGTTAATCAAGACTTTTAACTCATTGCTGGAATCTAGTAGAGTTAGAGTGCCTATGTTAATGGCTAGTTTTGGGGCAATTGTGAAAAAATTGTATGCCTTTTATACTTTCTTTAGCTGCAATTTCCAATAGAAAAGACACATTCTAAGGAATAAATTCCATTAAATACCGTGGAATTTAATTCTGAAGATAAAGATACTTATAATCGCTAGCCTACTAATTCGTAGATTGACATCATGCTAAACCAGTAGGTGATTTGACTGGTTTTGACTTAACAATTGTGTGAACCCACCACTAGCTATATTATAAATCATGGTTTGTGCTTCGCATTATATATGGACTCACTCAAACAGTTGTGCTTTAAATGAAACACAGTTAAACAAACTCTGTTGTGAAAATAATATAAGAAAGCAGGCTATATAAATTACTGTGAGTGAGATTATTTATTTTATGCTGAGAATCAGTTTTTTATATCTCCCGTGAATTCTTGGTCTATGAAACTTCACAGAAAGAGATTAAGTATACAGAGCTTTGTTCAAACAAAGTTTAGTTGGTTTTAATCAAAATGAGATATTGCTAGATAAATCAACAATCAAATTATTAATTCCATAGATTTGGGTCATTGTGGAAATGTCCTATTGTCCAGAGCTATTGCACATACATTCAGATACACAGAGACCTCCTGTTGTGGCCCACCAGCTGCCAGTGGAACTGGCTGCAAACTCAGACGATGAGGAGGTTGCGGAGGAACTTGGGCCAGTTCTGGAGTCTGGGGAAAGCTCTGATGGGTGCTCTGCATCAGAAGCAGAGATAGAGCCAGGGCCATCCAACATTTTCCAGCCACCGGAGAGGCAGGTGCCTTCGAAGGCGGAGATAAGTGGGGAGGAAGAACAGCTGGGGCCTGTTCCGGATGCATGTATGCACAGAGCTGTTAGGAGAGGAGAACAACTGAGAACAAATAGTCGACTCGGGAAGAAAGGCACACATGGATGCTGAATGTCCCCCCCTCCCCCGGGCTGGGAGGAAAGGGGAGTGGTGGTTGTAGGAGACAACCGTTAGGATTTCGGAAGATGTGCTCATCGTGGTTCGTGCCTCAGAGACTGCTTGCCAGAACATAATTTACAGCTTTGCGGCTGGAAGCTCCCAGCCTGGCAATTATCCCAAGGAAAACTGATAAGGCCTGTTACTGCAGTTAACTCTTTGAAGGATTATTGCCTGGACTTTTCAGTGTGTGAGTGCCCTTAATTCACAGTAGCTAAAGAAAGAAGGTTTTTTTGGAGCAAGGAGTCTGTTTCTTGTTTCTGCTAAGGCTGAGTCAGAACACCTCCTGTTCTTTGTGGTTAATAGCAGAACCATAAAAAACACACACAAATACCGGTATATATTGGGAAGAACTATTGAATGGAGGAGAGACGGGTATATAATGGCTGGCAAACTAAAGACAGATCTAGACAGTGTTGGTGGTTGAAGTTATATGGTTTCCAGGAAAGCTCAAGTCAAGATTCTCAAGTCAAGTGATGTAAGGGCACCTAGATAAGACCTAACAAACAAGGAGAAGCATTCTGAGTGCAGCTATATGGCAGGATCCATCATCATCATCATTATCATCATCATCATCATCATCATCATCATTCTAGCCATTGTCTGTCTATTGCAGGATGAAGGCCTTTTCTGCATGTTTCTAACTCATACGGTCCTGAACTTTCTTTTGCCAGTTGGGCCTGCAACACTTGCTGAT